TGAAAGTGAGAAAACTTATCGGTTGAGATAAGAACAGCTTAATAATTGAAGTAAAATAAAATAGTAGTAGTAATAATATTAATAATAGTAACAGTAATATACAAAGCAAGTAATGCACAACGCAATTGCTCACCACCCGTCAACCAATGCCCAGCCAGGCCGCAAAGAGTGGCCTGCCAGACAGCTTTCCCCCAGTTTATGTGCCAAACATGACATCATATGGTATGGAATATCCTTTTGGCCAGTTTGGGTCAGCTGTCCCGGCTGTGCCCGCTCCCAACTTGTTGTGCAGGTCCAGCCTTCTCAGTCGGTAGAGCATGAGAAGCTGAAAAGTCCTTGATTTAGTGTAAGCACTACTTAGCCATCACTAAACCATCAGTGTGTTCTCAACATTATTCTCATCCTAAATCCAAAACACAGCACTGTGCCAGCTACTAGGAAGAAAATTAACTCTATCGCAGATGAAATGAGGACACTAAGTATATGTTACTTTCCTTTTATCAAATATAACTGCTCCTCTGTCTAAATCCAACAGTTGCACCAAATGCCTATGTATATTTTTTCCATCAGTTCTGAAATTGAAATACAAGCAAGAGTATACTTTTGAATGAGGGAGGCCATAAATGTATTTTAGGTCTTCCCAAAGCTTGACCTTTGATCCTTTATATCTATAGCTCTATACTTGGGGTTTTTTGCTCTTTTCTGACTCTTTCGGTAATGAACAGCTCATGTTTAATAGTATAGAATTAAATCTTTTTTTTTATTTAACGTTGAAAATGAAAGAAATTTTTAAAAGTAAAGAAAGCTTAATGCTATATCCATTCTACAAATCAGAAAAAGGGAAGAAAAGTAATGGTAATTCCATATTTACCTCTTCCTTCCATTCATTAGAAGTTATATATTAGAAAGGACTCTTGAATAGTTGTGTGTTCTGTCCTAAATGTTAACATATCTTAAGTAATTAATACACTGAAGTTTCATTTAAATTTTTCCAGATTACAACAGGTTATAATCCAGTATTATAAAAAGTGGATACAGTTTATAAAGGAAATCAAAGTGCATTTTTTAGCAAAGCAACCTTGATGAAATATATAGATTACAGTTAGTTCTCGTAATGAATATACAAAGTGCATCACCTTACTGATAAAAAAACCCAAAAAGACACAAAACACACAAAAAAAACCCAGAAACAAATTCTGGCAGAAGAAAAAAGGTAAAATTAGTTACTGCTGTCAGAGACTTGTCAGATAAAGGTATTGCAGGCAGCCACAGGCCTCATTTACTCCATTTATGGAGGTCTCTGCACACAAAAATGCTGCTTCAGAATACTAAGCAATAAATTCATTTTTATGCTAAGAAATCCATTGCTCAAGTCAAGTAACGTGCTGGATAACTATGTGAATAGGAGAGAGACATGAGAAGGAAACTAATTCTTCCCATTACCTTCAAAAGTGCATGGACTAGACGGAAAGTTGTTCTGTGGCAACTAATATGGTACCAAGCCTGCCACATTGTCATCAGAAGCAGGAAAAGCCCAAACAGATTAAGTAGGCAGTTATGCGCACACTTTTGTCTTATGAGCATTTCCCTTTCAAATTATAACAGTGGAAGAAGGACCTGAAATACAGGATCAATAGCCCCTGCAATAGGTGTGGTTTCAAGCTGGTTATTGGCTTTACTGTGATCAAAGCAGACTGGATTTTATTCAGATGCTATGGCAAAGTGGGCAATGATATAATTTAGCTCAGGTGGTCTTCTTGATTGAGTTTGAAACATTAAATTGGCAAAGTGACAGTGTTTTATGCTCTCTTTGGGACAATAGCAAATTTGGGCCAATGCAAGTAATTAAATTGAAATTCTTTTCAGGGAAATTGTTATCTGTATATTCACTTTTTTCAGTCTTTCCTTTTTTAATGGATCAGTGTAATACAGATGATAGTTTTGTTTGTGGGTGTTTTTTTGAGAGAAGGGGGCGATATGGGAGTGTTTTGTTAGTGGTTTTACAGTATCAACACAATAAATTAATTAAAATTTACAATGACTGGCTTTCTATTTACAAGATTTTTTTTAGTGCTGTTGTATTGTCTATATGAAAGTGCCACCAACTCTGACTTAATCATCTGAACAGTCTGCATTTTTACATACCTCTTCTCTTACACACACATACACACCACCACTCCCTTTTGTTTTTAAATGTAACACTTAGAAATCTGGTTGGATTGGCAGTCCTGGAATTACAAAAAAAAAAAAAAAAAAAAGTGATAGCCTCAAGAATGGCAAGTATCCCCACTAACTGTAGTCTAATGTTGAGCATGGAAGATGCATGCCTGAGTGCCTAACAGCCAGCTCTTCCACCCCTCCCCTGTCCCCAGGCTGGTCTGCAAGCTCCTTCCACTTCCCTCCTATTAGTTCAGGTGCTTATCTGGCCCAGGGATTCAATTCAGTTTGCTAATTTGGCAAAAAAAGACTAGCTAAAAGGAAGAGGATTCTGCAGGGTTACTGAGCTGAATTGGTTTACAGAGGCACCAGTGAACTACCAGATCTTCCCAGTTATCCCACCACGAGAAGGAAAAAGAACAATTCACCCTCTCTAAATGCTGAGTATCCTCCTCCCTGTAATCAGTAGATGATGTTGGTTTTGGTGAGTTTTTTAAAGAATCTCGGTGAAGACAATTTTCACACACCAGTATATGAACACAGTTGTTCTCAACAGCACTAGTCTATCTATCTAACCTTTACACCAGGAAGACAACGTGCATACTGTCACATGGCATTGGAATTTAAGACCTGATTTTTCTCCCTAATGCTAGCTTTGATCTTCTGCCATTCAGCCTCCACTGAACACATTACTGATGTAACTTCTGCACCTACTGTTGTT